CTCAAAGCCCAACCTGTGTGCCCATCCCACTATGCCTGCCTACTAATCCGTCCAATTATTAAATTTTTAGTTCTAAGTTGTTAGTTATGATTTATGGTTATATAAATAAGAGCAATGTTATTGTGATCTAATTTGTTAACTTAATTTATTATGTATTTTGGATTAATTGTGGGCCCCCATCAAACATTAAAACTTAATGTTAATCCAATAGTTTCAATGAAGTCACATAATTAAATCAACAAATTATGTCAGACTTTTAGATCTAAATAATATCTATATAATAAAGTAGCTTACAATTCACATCTCAAAAGATAAACAAAATTATTTTTGTTTTTTGCGGTTCAGATTGCTTTAATTTTATTTTAAAGTTAATCTAATGACTAATATTAATACTCTAAATTTAATATAAAAAATAAGCTTTTAAGGGTGTGTTTGGAGTGACTTTTTGAAAGTAATTTTAAAAATTATCTCTCATAAGTACTTTAAAAAAAAAAGTATTTGAAACCACCCCACCACTACTTCTACCACTACCACCCCCACCAACACTACTTCTACCACCATCGCCGCCTCCACCCCCCCGCCGCCGCCGCCGCCACCACGGTCATTACCACCTATCACAACCATCACCGTCTCTTACCACCACTACTGTTGCTAACCATTTTTTATCCCCGCTACAACCGATCCTTAAATTCATTTATCTTTTCTATATGTTTGTAATTTAATTTTAGATATGAATATAAATATGTTTATTATTTTTTATTTTTTATTTTTTATTACTTTGTGCCTTCAGACAGAGACAATAACTAGTTACTTTACAAATAATAAGTGATTTATTGTTGACCTAATTTATTATGATTTTTTGATTGATTGTGGGCCTCATTAAATATTAGAATTTGGTGTTAATCTCATGGTTCTAATGAAATCAAATCATTAAGTTTACAAATTATATCAAACTTTTAGATCCAAATAACATTACTCAATAAATAATAAGTGATGGTGTACACTTGTAAGGCATAAGCTACCGGTAGGTTATAAATTATTACTTTTTTACTTATGGCTCATAAAATTTACTGTATAATTCTACAAATTTTCAATTAACAAGTAGCCAATGATTACATTCTAAGCTATTGTGGATGACCTCTTTATTGCAGCCCAACTGGCCTACCTCACAACATTTTTATCGGCCGGTGCCTGACTTTACCTATTTTTTTTTTTTAGTTTAATAATCAGGTATTCAAACTATTTTGTATATATCTCGATGAATCCACGGTCATAGACAAACTGTTCACATTGGAACTAAAGAATTTATTAGGGTCATGATTTGACTTAAAAAGGTAGTCAAGATTCAAACTTTAGGATATCTGAGTTTACCTATTGTCATCTCTACAAACATAATTATATGTGGATCAATAGAAACATGATTAAAATGTGAAATATCCTTGTCAATTTAATTATATACGATTAAAAATCGGGCGAACACAATTTACAGACAACCCTAAATCTAATACCTTTTTATGTATATTTTTTTGTTTTTTTCCAAACCTGTGGTATACATGTCTGAGTTTCCTAAAGGAGTGTACATTTGCCATGAAGATATGTAGTGCATGTACCGGAAACCCTGCCAATGGATGCAGTGGCGCCACTATTGTGTGCCGGAATCACCGTGTTCTGCCCCATGAAAGACAACAACTTGATTGAGTCAACAGGGAAACGCCTCGGAATAGTCGGTCTGGGAGGTCTGGGCCATGTCGCTGTCAAATTCGGAAAGGCCTTTGGCCACCATGTAACTGTCATTAGCACTTCTCCATCCAAAGAAAAGGAAGCTAGAGAACGCCTCGGAGCCGATGATTTCATACTCAGCACAAACGCCGAACAAATGCAGGTTAATTTTTTTTGCCTTTTACTATAGTTTTTATCGGGCAAACTATAGATTACATCATTGTTGTTTGATCCATTAACACAATGGGCACGTTTGGATTGGACCCAGTTTTTTTATGCTGTTCTGCCCAAACATCATAAAATAGCTCTCCTGTTTGGCCCTGGTTTTTTCAAAACGACTTTTTTTTAAGTTATTTTTACCCATTTTTTTGCTTGGGCGTCATTTAACTTTTTAATTTATTATATTCACAAAGTATTATTAGCCATGTAAAAAAATTTAAAATTCATATTTTGAGAATTATTAGTTACAATTTATATATAAATGTGATTATTATTATTTTTTTTTTTGACACAAAAGCCAAAACACTTAGAAAGTCTCCCCAAATGGGTTTTTTCAACTTTATCAGCTTTTTTGGGAACAATCTTGAACGGTTCCAAAATAACACGAATTGAAATTTTAGGGATTAAATTGATAAAATTAATATAATGAGAACTAAACAGACATACTTATGAACTAAAAATGTTGTTAACTCTGTTTTTTTATAAAGCATAGTATTAAATTGAATTTTTTTAATGCTTTATTCATGTTAAATTTTCAATTTTAGTTCTCTCTAAACTAGTGATATGCTTTGTTTTTAATTGTGGGTCACAGTCAAAGAAGAGGACTCTAGATTTTATCTTGGATACAGTATCTGCCAAGCACTCCCTTGGACCAACTTTAGAGCTACTCAAAGTGAATGGTACTTTGGTGATTGTGGGCGTACCAGACAAACCCATAGACCTGCCTTCTTTTCCTCTCATTTTTGGTAAGTTTCAGAGAGTCTCCTATTATTTGCATAGCACCACCACATTGTGAGAAATTTATAATCGAGGAGGACGATTGTATACGTACGAGATTTGCATTGCAGTGGTAAATTCCAAAAGGCATAGAACTGAGATGATAGAGATGCGTAATTATTCAACATATATCTTATTTCACTTTTGACAGGCAAGAGAGTGGTGAAGGGGAGCATGATAGGAAGCATAAAAGAGACACAGGAGATGATGGAGTTATGTGGGAAGCACAACATCACATGCGACATTGAAGTTGTCACGCCTGATAAAATTAACGAAGCCCTTGATCGACTCGCAAACAACGATGTTAAGTACCGCTTTGTAATTGACATTGCCGGCAAATCACCAAATCTTTAACAACTGTTGTAATAATACGTACCTGCTTATTATTACTATTTACTATTTCTCCCAAACTTATATTGGGGTTTTTTTTTTTGAATTATCGTTTCTCATTAATTATGTTGTCTGTGTGTTTGTTATTTGCTTATTTTGGACTCCGCAGGTATTAGAATTTTGTGTGTTTGACTCCATTTTTTGCAGTGTTGTCTGTTATCTAGATTAAAAAATCGCTCTGGTATGAGGCAGTTTCGTCTCGTACCATAAGTGGAATCTTCCTACATCTTCATCAAAAAATCCATTTTTGCAATGAAGACGGGTCCAACTCAATCTGGCGGAGACTAGAGGCAATCCCAATATTTGAATTTTATTATAGTTTCCTATGGTGGATGCTCCATTACGTAGGCCCAATTCCGAGGTAAAACAAAATGGGCCTAATTGTGCTAAAACGACAAACGTTGAAGGTAGACAGGCCTTCATATGTATTTTCTAGATCACAATGATTATGATCCGATCCACGCATAAACATATGATCAGAATAATTACACGAAAAGAATCAGCATATTCTAGAAGGAAATATACCAGCAAAATATTTGGAATATTCGTCCCTAACTTGGCTTCCTCGTTACTAAAAACCTCGTCAGAGCAAACCGGAGAGATAGTACGGGCCCATATCTCTTTTTTTTTTTTTTATTGTCATTAGGGCCCATATCTCCACTCCCTCAATAATGGAGTCTTTTGGAAACTGTTTTAAGTTTAAACTTAATAATTATAACTATTAATTGGATAGTGGATACCAATAAATGTCAAAATTTTCGGTAAAATTAATGGTTGTCTTTATCAAATCTATTTTTTAAGTTTAATTTTTAAATTCATGTAACATTGCTTTTTCACATTTAATCAAAATCTAATTAATGGCATTTTTTTTGAATTATTAAATTGAGAACAAATTGTCGTTTTCCTTTTTTTTTTTCCCCGGAAAAATGATGTTTTTTTTGATAGGAGACGAAAATATGCCAGCAGCCATAAGCCATTACTGGGTGGATAGGACCAGGGACGTTAATTATTTTTGTTAAACTTTAAATTGTTATTAAAAATCAAAGATAAGCTCGGACATGGGGCCACTTCTAGATACAATGTAGAACTTGATGTCATTTTAAATTGAACAATTTACATAAAATAAGGTATCTGCTTTCAAAGAAAAAGAAAAAGTTTAAGCTGCACAAAGCCGCAATCTGTTCTTCAAAGAGGCCAATAATTTGTTGGATGTCGTGTTGGAAAAATAAGTCTGAAAAATAAAGTAAACGTGAAGATAAGACGCGGACTAGGTCATTTTTTTAATACGATTCGTGTTTTTGTGTGGAAGAAACACAATACAAAACGTAATAGCGTGTAATCCTCGAGATAAAATAACTCTTACACACGTAAGAGTTTCAAAGTTTCACTTAATTCAATGGTAATATAACACTAGCATATATATATATATATATATATATATTGAAACATTTTAAAAAATTTACTCGATATCAAATTGAATTTTTCACATAAAATACTCTAACATGGCGGGTTGCCATACCATTAGGACCACAAAATTTCATCCCAAAATTTAATCAAGAGTTGCATTAGTGTTTGGGTTATCACACATGCAATGCAAGTAACCATATGAATCATCTTGAGCTATCGTATCATACATAGCTAGCCAATATATTATGTCTACCTCGCAAGGTTAGATTCCTTTTGTCCGACTCAGCACTAGATTGTTCCTTATCCTAAAGCATATGCCTCCAATTCTCTTGCATAAATGGACTTTCTCACTGCCCTTCAGTCTCCATTCTGAGAGCCACAGTATTAAAGCACAGAGTTAATTACAGTACTGAAAGAGTAGGATATAGTGTAATAAAAGACTGAGAGAACTTAGTGTGCTCTGAATTGCAGATTCTGATTCCTTAAATATGTCGAAAGAAGTGATGGAAGAAGGAGAATCTGCTGAACAAGAGAGAGACTATGTGGAGCCACCGCCAGCGCCTTTCATTGACATGGAGGAGCTGATGCTATGGTCCTTCTACAGAGCTGTTATTGCCGAATTCATCGCCACCCTACTCTTTCTCTACATCACAGTCGCCACCTTAATCGGCTACAAGGAGCAAGCTGATGCTTGCAACACTGTTGGCCTTTTAGGTGTTGCTTGGGCTTTTGGTGGCATGATTTTTGTCCTCGTCTATTGCACTGCTGGAATATCTGGTTCAAACCCTGCAAAAAA